AAAGCTTGTTTGAAGGTAAATCACCTCTTTTGAAAGTTAAATTTTGGGGTTTTAATCTTGAAGCTATGAAAGTGATGCTTTTGTTGTGATTATGCATTTTTATGGGTTGTATGATGATTATGGAGTAGTTTTATGGTTTATTTTGATGGTTATATTGCTGATTTTGGTAAAGGCTAGGAGGAAAAGGTAGGGTTTCTTGATTCATGATTCATAGAGTTGGTTTGGTTGGATTTTGGCTTGTTAATGGCATCTTTGATGCATTAATTTCACTTGTATGGTTGGTAAGTAGCAAATTCCAGATTAGTCATGAAACCCTAATTCAAAGGAAAGTTAGTTTGGTTGGGTTAGGGCTTAAGTGATTAGAGTTTGATTGATTAGGTGGTGAAACTAGTAAAGTTAGTAGGATTAGCACCTAGATTATGGTTAGTATTGGGTAAGTCTTGGGATTTAATTGGAAAAGGAATTTCGGTTCACTTGGAGTGCAAATATGAGGTGATTTATGTGTGTTTATTTGGTATGAATTTACTTGGAAAACTTGTATAAGAATCGTAGCAACGGATCATGCGTTTGCGATGTTCAAAACCGGCAAAACTGGAAACAGGGCAGTCCACAAATTCGAACTTGGGTTCTGTTTTTCTTTATGCTGCGTGCGGATTCAGAGGTTTCTCAAAACATGAAAGTTGTAGCTTCTTAAGTCTTTAATGTGCCTGCAAAATTTCAAGTCAAACAGATCAGTGTACCCCGAGTTATAGCCAAAACACTTGCACCTATTTTGAACACTGGATTGTGTTACGCTTTTGGATTTAGCCTCTGACCATGCTTGGTTCGCTTGGATAGCGTGTGAACTGGGTGTTGACCCCTTCATAAGAAATGTATATCTTGGTTTTAGTTTCGAAACAGTATAATGTGTGTCCAAATCCGAGTTCCGTAGCTCTAGTTATACCCAAAACAAAATCGGGTGTCAGAACTGCCGTTGAAGTTGGCCAGTTCTGACAGGAACTTTGGACCCATTTTTCACCCTGCTCTGTATTGATTCAGGTCTTGGCCAAAACATAAAAGTTTTAGCATTATGACATAGATTTCTAAAACCTTTGGAATTTCTTGATTTGGATTTGCGAGCTGTGAGTTATGGTCCAGCAAACAGACCCTGTCTGTCATCCTAAAGTGCAAACTTCTGGTACTGTTTTCCATTTTTTCGATCTGCTTCCATTCAGATCAAGATTAAGGTGTCTTCATGAAAATTGTAACCCTTCCTCTTAGCTTCGTAACGGTATCTCATACACTTTAATCCGACATTCCTAGCCCAACTTATCATGAAAACAGTTTGGGAAAGCAACTATGCCCATTTCCGTTTGCCGGCCGTTTCCATTTCCGGTTGCCAATTCCGCACTTGCATGTGCCAATTTTGCCGTTTTGCTTAATTTACGCACTTTAGTAGTTGTTTGTGTGATGATATGGCTCAACCTTCTGCCGGTGACGGGCTAGACAGAGCCGGTGGGGCCTACTAGCTGACGACTTGAATTCATTTCCGTACTTTCTCTCGTTATACTTGCTCTTTAGATGAGAAATCAGGGTTTCTGTGTAACTCAATACTAATATAAGGTTGCTATGAAAAATGGGCACTTAGATGAGGGTGTATTTTATCACACTCGATCAAAACCCCATTAGTTGCTATTGATACCTGTGAAATATGATTTTGTGATTTGTTATGGAGCATTTATTGCTTGTGAAACACTTGCGGAGCATTTATTGCTTGTGACGCAATTTAGGAGCATTTATTGCTTGAACCAGAGCATTTATTGCTTGAACTAGAGCATTTATTGCTTGAACTACAATTTTAGAGCATTTATTGTTTGAAAAATATTTTAGAGCATTTATTGCTCGTGACTTGAACTGAAGCTCATGGTCTCTCTATGTGGGATCCTTTAAGAGAAGCGAGTTGTATGGCTCAGGATCTCAAGGGTCAACTAGTGATTAAACTCAACACATGATTTGGCTTTGGAGGCACCCGTATCCTACCATTATGATGTAACTTTTCTGTTGTTGATGTAAAATATCCTGATTTACTTGTTTAATTATGTGAGTTTACGTTTTACCCCTGTTTACTTACTAAGCATATAGCTTGCCCCTTCCCTTTGTTTTCTTTAACAGGGGCCGACGCGGGAAACTTTTGGCACTATCACTAGAATAGTTAGGCTTGGTTTGTAATAGCCAGACAGCTAGGATGTTTCTTTTGGTGGTCTGTATAAGGACCTTCCTTAGGGTCCACTTTTTGCTGGTTGTTATCATAATGTAATATAATGGTCTGAATAGCTACTTTTAGGGATAAATAGAACTCTTTGGAATTGGATATATTGTGAATAGCACGTTTGTGGTTTATCTAGTTTTATTGTTTTGAAATTTCGAATCCTGGCGCGACCTAGGCAGGCATCCCGTCGATACCCTTGGGTTCGCCCTTGGGAAAAGTGGAGGTGTCACGTTGTCCCTTTAAAAAAAAGTACATTTTCATGTTTTTTGTCTTTATTTTTAACATTTGATTAGTATACTTACAATTAAAAACAAAAACAGTAAGGCAATAAAAGGGCATTGTTGAAAAAAATTATTTTTTCTTTCTCAAATTGAATATTTTACTCACATAACTTGGATTGTGTCAAAGATGTTATAAAAATTTAAAAATAGAGAAGGTAAGTGATATTTTGAAAATTTTAAGGTACTAAATGAAACTATTAGATAACTCAAGGAAGGTTTTTAAAATTATCCTTTTATAGTACAATCATCCTTGCACCACGTCATTTCACACTTCACCTTCCTACATTTTCTTCCGGATCTTGTCCTTTTCATACCTAACACTTATCCTTCTCTTACTTCCAATTCTGATCCTCCGCTCCGCCGTTCAACCGGTCCATGATGCCCCGACGTCATAAGTTGCATCATGAAATGAAAGGCAAAGGGCCGAAAGATGAGGACGCTGCAAATCCAAGTTTTCTTAAAGGTACTTTTGATCTAGAAAATTTAACCTTTTTTCTGGTCAACATAAAATATAATTGAGGTCCACTGTCACTGCAAGAACGTGTTTATGTCAGTTTTTTGGGCGAAATTTGTAGAGATATCACTCTCTTAATTTAATCTTGAGCCATTTAACCCGGGTAATCATACGAGTGGCCTCTCAATTTTTCAAATCCTAAAAAAAGAAGAGTTACAGCGAAATGGACATTTTTTTGCAAATCCCATTTAGCTTTGAATCTATTGAAGCCATGCACTAGCTGGAAATTTGAATTCTTTTACACATGAAACGTAATAACTTTTATTTGGCTTTGCAGGAGAGTCTTGAACCTTCCCCACCAAGGACGGTTATCCCTCTGATAAGGAAACATGTAACTGAGGTAATGGGGGAGAAGATTGGGAAGAAAACTGTCAAGGAGATGATAATAAAGAAGATACTGGAAATTAACTTGAAGCATTTTAAGAATTGTGAACCAAAAGTGGAAGAACCCTCAAGGGCAGATCAACCTGTGTCTGATGTAGCCTCGCAATCTAGCAAAAGCTCGATGTATTCAAAGAAAAGAATTCCTGACAAACCAAAAGTGGAAGAACTCTCAAGGGCAGATCAATCTGTGTCTGATGTAGCCTCACAATCTTGCAAAAGCTATACAGAGAGCACTACAATCATTAACCTTCTGGAAATGACAGAAAGCTCAGCATTAGATCAATCTATGTCTAAGGTCGCTTTGAATTCTATTACAGACCATGAAAGGTCTCCCAAAATGAGTTGTATCTTGTTTAGCCGTTTGTTTGGAGCCAATTTTGAATTTGATAAAGATTCCATGGTTCAGTTGTCGGTTGCGCAAGGAATTTTTGAGCCAGAAAATGAGGAAATAATGGAGATTGTTGGTAGTACTATTTTTGATTCGATGGTGGAAGACAATTTGTTTGTGCCTGTAAGATTTGATAACCTATATGGTCAATTGTTCGCAGTTAATGAAAATATGCTTGATAGTAATTTGTTTGAGGGTGAAGAGCAGCTGCCAATGGAAGATTTCATGCTCGCAGATGAGGTAGGGTTGGTTAGCATTCCAAGCACGATCAAGCATCTGTCTCTCTGCTGTGAGAACTTTGATTTACACACTGTAGAAGTTCTCAAAAGTTTTACGGGTATGCAAACTCTCATGCTACATTGTGAGTGTGCTACTGGTTTTAATCATGTCTCACATGACCTCTTCCTTCATCTAAAACGATTGAGGACTTTAGATTTACATCAACTAGACATAACTGAACTACCTAGCTCTGTTGGGGATCTTGAATATTTGCATTATTTGGATGTATCAGAGACGTCTATCAAGTACTTGCCTGAAACAGTTGATTCCCTTTATTTGTTGCAAACATTGAAATTGAAGGGTTGCTTGCAGCTTTGTCGATTACCCAAAAACACAAGGCATTTGGTTAGATTGTGCCATCTTGATCTTGACATTATTAGACAATTGAAATCTATGCCTATTGGTTTAGGAAGTTTGACAAGCCTACAAACCTTGAGTGGATTCCTTGTTGGAAAGAAAGATGGTTGTTATATAGGAGAGCTAAAGAATCTAGTTAACCTCAGAGGATCGTTGTGCATTTCAAGGCTGGAAAATATCTCAAGTCCTGACAAGGCCGAGCAAGCTAACCTGAGTAACAAGAAACACATCACTAAATTACAGTTGCAATGGTCTACTTTGTCACTCTGATAGCGTGCAAGTCGAAGAGCAGATATTAGAACATCTGCAGCCTCATTTCGGCCTAAAGGAGTTAGAGATATTCTTCTTCAATGGATCTAAATTACCATCATGGATAAGTGATCCATCTTTTGCCCAAATAGTCAAAATCACTCTTTTCAAGCCTAGAAATTGTTCTTTATTGCCATCACTTGGCATGTTGCCATCTCTAAAATTTCTTGAGATATATGAAATGAATGAGGTAAGAGTTATAGATCAGGTATTCCATCGAAAAAATGGGGTTCAAAAGCTTTATGCATTCCCAAAATTAGAGAAGTTAGAACTTGATACCTTCTTGAACCTAGAGGTGTGGGATGGTATGGAGAATGGTGACTTCCCAAATCTTCTTGAGTGCAGATTCAAGCAGTGCCCCAAACTTATATCTCTTCCATCTCTTTCACTCCTGCATTCCCTCAAACACTTGGAGATTATTGCATGTTCAGAGTTGCAGTCTTTACCAGATGATGGAATTCCAGCTTCAGTTGAAACAATAATCGTCAAAGACTGCCCAAGAATTATAGAACAGTGCGGGTATCCGAATGGCCGGGATTGGTCTAAGATAGCACATGTTTCTTCAGTTTTTTCTAGATTATGAAGAGATATCCCCACAGAGCAGATACTGAAGACTTAATAGGCTAGATTAGTGCTACGAGGTAAGAACTTGTTGCTTGTGCTCTTATTGTATCATTAAAGACTCGCTAGTTTTATCTCTCTTCTAGTTCTGTTTAATTGAGTTTTTTGTTAATTTCTCCTTTTCAGTCATTTAGTATACTTGAGCCAATTTTGAATTCACCAAGAAACTGTTTCATATATTTCACCAAAACAAACCTTCAAGTTATAAGAACTGAGAAACGGCTAGGACCAATAACAAAAAGTACTTTTTTCCATCTCAGTGCAATATTCTTTTTTTTTCTTTCCTTTTTCTGCCTTTTATTATATGACAATATTCAGCAACTTTATGATGCAAATATCCACTTAGCTGATATTAATTAGTAGAGCAAATAACAAAGTGAATAATGAACTCACTTATATGGTGTAAGCCCTCTTACTCTAGCTGACATTCTTCTGGATGAAGCATAAAGTTTGCATTAAGTTCTCTTAAAGAGGGAGAGAGAGTATGATTGCAAAATTTAACGAATTTGGCTTGTCTAGGATTTGGATGTAAAAAAACACAGACCATTGAATATGTTGATGGCTTGGATTTGTTGTACATCCAAAATAAAATTGGTTTGCACTGCAGCATGTAGACCAGAGTGGAATGTGGAAATGATCTAAAAGCTCTGTCAGTGATGATTATTTCCTTTGATACTCATTTATGTTTTTAACCCTTCTAGTTGATGCTTGTGCGAGCAACTGAATTAGCTAGGCTGGTTTTGTCTTCTGGGTCTTACTTGTGTGCAATCACAATTACTAGTTCGTTAAAAAATAAGAAAAAAACCACAAGGGATCTACTGAAACGTTATATGTGCTATCGAGCATCAGAATTTTCCTTTGAGATAGAATTTTTGTGGCTTCATGTGGAAACGATTTTGCCGTTCCTAATTGAATTTCTTTTGTTCTTGATGTGATACATCTCTTATTTAAACAAAGGAAAATAAACACTGAGCAGATGTGTCTCCAATAAATTCCTAGAGAAAGCTTTGAATTATTAGCAAACCTGTCTGCTTTTGGATCAAAGGTGGTATGCTCATAGGGAAGTTAGTTTTCTGAGAAGGAACCATTACATTGTAGAATTTTGTTAGGTGCTCTAAAGAATTAGGATTGGACCGGAATCAGAATCTTGTCATTATAGAAACGTATAGTATATTATGTCATGCAATTCCAATTTTGATGGAGAACCAAGCACGACCTAAATGTTTAGGTATTTGTAAAAACTTTTTCGCTAGAACTCTCCATTTCCTCATGGTACCCAAATATGTTAATGTTGAATGCCTGATAAAAGCTTATATAAGTAACCAAAAAACGGCCAAACTATAGCTCTAAATCCAGGACCTCCGATATCTTTTTGGACTTGCACTTTCATTAGTACACTCAAACTAGAACAAACCCAAAGTATACTACTATTATTAACAGGATGGACTAATCACAAGTTCTTCACACTGCATTGACTTCTTTTAGATGCTTCACTTGGTGGAAAATAAAGTAGGATTACACAGAATGCCTACAAACAATAAGCATTCAGTACCCAAAAAATGTTTATTTCAAGGGTCAAAGATAACATTAAGTGTGTTTGGATAGGAGATTATTTCACATATTATTTTAAATAATCACTGTAATACATTTTATAATGTGATATATGTGACATAAAATGGTAGTTAAAAAGAAAAAAATTAATTGGAAAACGTGTTTGTAATACAAGTAGAATATTATTTGAAAGAATTATTTGTCCCCAGGTCTTAGTTGACATTGAATATACTGCATATGGCTTCATACGTTATGGGAAAGAAAGTCACCTCTAATCAGAGGCAAAATGGAGGAGTTAATATTAAGCTTTGGAACTCTGTTTTCTGATAAATGCATCCATATACTATCAATTAAGTTACCTTAAATAATACTGTAATTATCATTAGATAATGTCTTGAATACCTTGAATAGGATGTAGTTAAAGTAATTTTTATTCCTTTTTTTTTGGAGTAACACAGTTGAACTAGTATTGAAGCATGACCAAGTAATGTGTGAAAAAGATTTGACTACTTTTGCTGAACATGCAATCAGCATGAAAATATTGTAGCTAACAGTGCTCTCAGTCTTGTCTCTGTATTAATTTCCCTCGTTCTTGGTCTTAATCTTTAAGCTGTGCAAGTATTTTCGTTTATATGTGGGGGTAATTGTATTAGGAGGATTATATACTGGATGATATCATTTTCTTATTTAAGTTTTGGTACAGAAACATTTATGATTTAAAGGAAGATGCAGTCCACTGGTCCCATTACAGGTTTATAGCAATTTTACAGTACCATTGAGGGGAGGCTAATAACAAAATTTGAACAACGCTTTAGCAAAATGTATGAAACATACTAGTTGAATTTGAACCTCTCTTGGGTAAAAAATACAAAACAAACCAGTTGAGTTGACCTGATTGATATCTGCAAGATGTAATTCACCCAAGCAAAGGGGTTATTTGATGTATAAAATGCTAATAGATTGCAGTTTCTATTGATAGCTCTTCTGAAGGCATCGGTGGTTTGCAATTGCATTATGCTTGTCGTTCAGATGCAAGTAACCATCAACTCGTGGTCGTATTTTCATGAACTAATTGTGTTATTTTCTGTTTAACAGAGCATTAAGCAATATATATAGTCGTAAAAGTACTCCAATCCCAACAGTGAATACTAGATTTATGTGAGTTTGACGTCTAATTCAACAATGTAGCTTGTCTAAGCTTTGGCCTCAGCATGGGTATTCAGGGATTGGAAAGCCTGCCACGTAACTATCCTAGTATTGCTACCAGATGTCTTGTGCTTAATTTTGTTTCAGGTACAAAAATCTATCAATAAAAAGAAGTTACCTGTAAGCAGAATTCAACAGCTTTCTTGCAAAACCGTTATAGTTGGCTGGTAAAGCTACCCGATTCCACGCTGTGTCTCTTGCTCTGAGTAATGCATACCACAAAATATGTTTAATTCATTACATGGTGGTATACAGAGCTATATCCAGATTGCGTTCCAAGTGGTTAGAAGTGAAATTGGAGTCTATAATTAAGGAAAGCACTACATTCTGCTGTCTGGAGAAGCAAAATAGCTCTACCAGGGGCTCAAATTAGCATGGTATCTGAAGCTCAGTAGCATTAGCTTCACACAGGATGACAGAGTTGAAAAATGAACTTGATTATTCAAAACGGTCATCTAACTAACAACCGCAAGACCTATTCTGGAAACTGTCATATCTCAACCCAAATTCATCTGTTCCCTCAGAAGAGTTCTGAATTAATTGACAAACACCATGACCTGATAAAGTTTTGGTATTCTGGCAAATTTACATTAAAAAAGAGAGAAAAATAGAAGAAAAACGAGATAGTAAAGTGATCCACAAGGCTTTTGCCAACATGCCAAACAATATCAGAAAAGTACGAGGGGCAGAAGTAGAGAATTCGAAATTAACAAATTCTAGTACAGATGATGCTGATTAACATAAACAGCAATTCAGTTGGGCATCAAATCTAGGCTCGCGAGTCATTCATGCAAGAAACTACTAGATCACGATCTTCAACCCTCAACTCCAGCTATCTGAAATGTTACAAGGAATGGGGTCAAACCACAGGAAGTTGCTTAAAATGCAAGCATACAAGTATCTTCTGAAAATACACCATACATACATGTCAAATGAATGGAAATTCAAATTTTATACAAGCATGCTCAAATATGTTAGGAATTTTACAATGGAATGAGCTAATGCAGATGAGATATCATGGTATGCAAGCTTAGCCGGAATATAGTCCAATGAGAACTGGTTTATAAAGAACAGAATCATCTAATCCTCTTTACCCAAATGAAATTTTGTATTAATGGTTCAGTTCGTCTCGTCTTATTTTTCCAGTTTCAAAAGGTACCTAATCACTTGATACTCGTCAACAGTGGCGGAGCTAGGAATTGCAATTAGGGGGGGCGAATCTCTGTTATTTGGACAAAATCCAAATAACTTTCAAACATTATTATTTGGGCCCTTAGGAGGGGGCAAAGTGAAAATTTTAATCAATATTTTGGGGGGGCAAAACAATATAATAAAAATTTTTTACTTAGAAATTTTTTTATAACAATTGGAGGGGGGGCAAAGTGAAATTTTTTATCAATATTTGGGGGGGCAAAACAATATAATAAAAATTTTTTTACTTAGAAATTTTTTTTTTTAACAATTGGAGGGGGGGCGGTTGCCCCCCCTGGCCCCCCCCCTTCCCTCCGCCCCTGCTCGTCAACTTGAAAAACTTAAATGATCCACAAGTTATTTATCCGAAAAAAATGACTTCTGAAACAGCATAATAAAATACTGATAAAACATGGACTCATAATATCTGATAGTCTATCAAAACTAAACAAACATTTAATATGATAATATAACTTGCTTTACTAAAATAAGAAAGTTTCCAGCCTGAGAACTATTTCTAAATGAAGTCTCCATGCATTAAATTATGCATCATGCAATGATTCCAGTGCAATAAAAAGACGAAACACAGTATGCATATCCTAAAATGCTCAGTCATGTAATTTGGCTTGAGTAAATAAAGGCCGTAGTCCATAGATTCTCATGGTCCAAATACTTTAACAACCAAGTGAAAACCTCATCATAATCTACGCAATGACACCCCAATAAAAGAAATCAAACATACAAGTTTACTTTCAAGCGGATGGGAAAGTACTTGTAAGCATACCAACATAATAAGTAATGGCAAATTACAAGTTGTTGTTGAGACTTTGTGTCGGGAATATTGCAATGAACTGGCAAATATTGTGACAAGGATTGGCTTCAAATCGTGATACAATATCACTTTCCTTTAGGTTTTATTTATCCGGTATAACGTACAATAACCTTGGACAAATATCTTTTAGGATAAGATGAAATTTGTTTGTCTTAAACTCTTGCATAAAGT